GTGTGGCTATTTTGTATTTTTATAATATCAGTAAAAGAGGGGGAGAAGTGATTGTTTTATGGGACCATGGGCTGTTTGTATTTGATTGTAAAATACCCTGCTTCTCCATCATGTAAGTGACATATTCCAATCGGTCCTGATCTGGGTTTCCAAAGAAAAAAATTCAAAGTATCCTATACTGTCTAATAGAACAGCCACAACCATGGCTACTCTAAGTGAATTCTAAGTGAATTTTAATTCACTTTTTAAAAAGATTTATTTATTTTTATTGGAAAGGCAGATATACAGAGAGGAAGCTCTTCCATCCGATGATTCACTCCCCAAGCTGCCACAACGGCTAGAGCTAAGCCAATCTGAAACCAGGAGCCAGGAACTTCCTCCAGGTCTCCCACATGGGTGCAGGGTCCCAAGGTTTTGGGCCGTCCTCAACTGCTTCCCCATGCCACAAGCAGGGAGCTGGATGGGAAACTGGGCTGCTGGGATTAGAACCAGCACCCATAAGGGATCGTGGTACGTTCAAGGCGAGGACTTTAACTGCTGTGCTATCGTGCTGGGCTCTTGATTCACTTTTAATGTCTTGACCTGTGATGGGCATACTTTGGATGCTCAAGGGGCCGCCATGCTATGGACATCATTTGCTCTACCACAGGAAGTTTTGTTGGATGTGGCTGTTTTGAAAACTGCCCTTTCAGTTCTTCCCTCGTCTTGCTCCTCTTCTTCAGAGATACAGATGTTGCAGTAAAGGTGTTTGTCATAAATTAACATTTAATTCTGTTGTTTTAAGGCCATTATTACAAAAAAGACCATTATCATACATGCTTCTCTTTCCTGTTTCAACTCTTTACACTGGAAAAAATGATTGAAATCTCATGTTAAACTGAATGTTTAATTTCTATGGTGTACCGTACCGTGTCCCACCTGCAGGCTTGGCAACACCCCAGTGTTCTTGTCTGTTTGATCTTGGCTAAGAGTGTCTCCAGGCACTTCCCCAATGTCCCTCCCAGTCCCCAAGCCAGCGCTAAGCATCCCATCTGTTGAGCTGCTGTAGTGCCCTGGCCCTCCTCTGCCCTGAAGGCAGTCTCTTCTTGCTCTCCTGCCCCTCCACCCCCACCCCACAACTGTCAACAAGACTAGAAAGGCCAGGCACGGCCTGTCTTCTCTGCTGTTGTCACTCTTCTCACCTGATTCCATGCCTGGCTCTTTGGTGGTGTTCATAATAAACGCCGAGGAAGGAAGGGACAATGGGCTGTGCAAGGAAGTGGCCTGAACAGGGAGCAACTTGCTGTTAGAGCCTGTTCCTTTGCCCTGGATGAGGAGGGCACCCCAGAGAAGGGCTTAGCAGGGACAGCGTGCTACCTGACTGCCTCAGGATCCTTCAGTGCTCTGAGCTGTTTCCACAGGCATGGTGACGGTGCATGCAACTCCTTCATACTCCTTGTGGCTAAAGTGTCTGCTCTGCTTTCCTCGGAAGCAGCAGAGGAAAACATATGAGCAAACTGGGATGATGACTGAGAAGTGAAGACGGGGAAGGAGTCAGGTGCAAAAGGGGAGTTGGAGAAAGGTGATGATGCAGTCACGGTAATTCTGCCTCATGCATCAGTGGGTTGCTGTTCTCTGTCTGATGGGACAGGTGTCCCTCAACCAAAGCACCTCATAAGGGTACTCTGCCAGGAGAGGTCACAAGAATCTCAACCTGGTGCTGAAAACAGGAATGCGGAGCACATGCGGTGTAGCGGTAAGATGCCACTTAACATGCCCAAGGGCCGTATCAGAGCGCCTAAGACGGAGTGCCAGCTTGTTCCCATTTTCAGTTTCCTGCTGATGGACACATTGGGAGGCAGCAGGTGATGGTTCAAGTAGCTGGATCCCTGCCACTCACAGAGACCTCGATTGAGTTCCTGGCAACTAACAGCCCTGCCCAACCTTAAGTGTTACATGCCTGTAAGTCTTGAGCCTGAAAGCGGGAGTTTTGTTTTTCTCTGTCATCTTTCTTTCCCTCCAATAAATAAATAATTTTTTGAAATCGGTTTATTTTTCCCAACGGCAGGGAGTCTAAAGATAGGATACCCAGTGTTGGTGAACTCACTGACACAGGAGTTAGGGAGCTCCCCAGTTCTCTCCAGCTGCCTGCTCTGCCACCCTGGGCACTGGATTTATCCTTCAGAGGGGACGTGACTGCTGCCCATGTGAGTACCCAGAAGAAGATGGGACAGTGCCCGTGGTGGTCCTGGCAGGCAAGGGGCTGCTGCGACACTTGTACAAAGCCTCTGCAGCAGACAGCATGGCTGCTGAGTGCCTCTCTGTCCCATGACAAATGCCAAGACCTCTAGCTCCTTATCTTTCCGCCCTCAGCCTATAGGTTTTAAAGTTCTGTCAGTCTATCCCAGTGCAGGACACATTGACTCTTACCTACCATCAGCACCTTAGAAAAGACTGTAATGAAGGGAACACACATGGAGTAGAGAAAGTGTTGGGGTCATGGGGGTGCCCTGGAGAGGAGCAGGGGGGTTCAGCAAAGAGCAACTCCAGTCCTCATCCTAAAGGGTTAATCTCTACGCCAGCTGGGGAAACTCTGGTTCAACTTTGAATGTAATAGTATCCATCCATTTATGATTTACAATGTAAACGGTGGATATTCTGAGAAATCTGGAATCCTTCAGTTGATCAGTTATGCTGTAATTCTTTCCTCCTTCCATATAGACCTGGCAGTGTTAGTGCTACGCTGAACGAGGTCACAGTCTAATGACAATATTAACCCTGCAAATCTGTTCATTTTCGCCTGAGCACCCCCAGGCGGGATATAGAATGTGTCCAATTGAAAAACTATTACAGTCTCTGCACTGCTGTGACGGGCTGAATTATAGGAGGGAAGGAGGCCTATGCACACACACGTGCCTAACTGTATGTGTGTGTGTGTGTGTGTGTGTGTGTACACGTGTGCAGCCAGGAAATCATTCTTTGAAAGGAAGTCAGCATACATCTTATAAAAGTGAAGCATATGTGAATGCATTTCCAAGCAGCTATTTGCGAGTCAGCGCGCTCCTGTCCACTGGTTTACCCTCTATGTGCTACAATGATGATTAAAGGGAAGAGAGGCAGGGATGTAGTAGGAGCCAAATACCCAATCCGGGTCTCCATGTACGCGGTAGATGTTTGGTAACTTGAGCTGTCATCTCTGTCTCTCTGTCTGACAGGAGGCTGGAGTTAGGAGCCCTACCCAGGAATTGAACCCAGGCACTCTATCACGGGACCCATGTGTGCCAACCAGCATCTTAACCACTAAGCCCAATGCTCACCTCTAGGTTCTCAAGTGTTTTGTGTTTCCAATCAACCCTGTCTTTGCTTTCTGTTTATCTTGTTTCATTTGATAGGTTTTCCCCTATCCAGTACCCCAGACGTCCTTTGAATTCTTGTTGTGATGCAAACATTCCTTTGTGTTTTTAATACTTATTTTTTGCTTTACTAAAAACATATGGGGATCCTGAACAGAATAATGGGATGAGTGCCTAATTTAAGAACTAAAGTGTTAACTCTCTTGCTGTGACCATTTTTTGGCTGAATTGAATTCGACATATACAGGAGCACCACACAGATGGCAGATGTCTTGTGTGAAAGCTCAGTATTCGCCGCCCCATTCCTGGTAGACAGGATGTTGCGGAGAGCATGTGCGCCCGCTGTCTTGCTTGGGCATGTGGTTAATGCTAAGTACTCTAACAGCTGTGCCCCAGGTAACTCCTCAAGCTGTTCCACATCATAAAATCTGTGCTGCTTTGCAAATTTGTATTTTAGCACACCACATTTTATGTACAAAAATGAGATGACTTCCCCTTTGTAATCTCCATCAAAGGCAGTTTTTTTCAAAATCCTCTTAGCGTGCCTTGTCGTTGGCTTTGGCACACACTGTGGGTTTGGAAACAGTCTCCGGTTAAATTAGAAATCAGGGCACATACGCGTGTCGTCAGCTGTCCAGAATTCATCCCTAAATGCTATTTTAGCTTATTCCTCAATTATAGACTCTAAATATTTGACCCTTCATGGAACGCCAGAGACCTGACTTGACTTGTCTGTGGTTTGGACTCTAATGTAAAAGCAGTCAACCTTGTTTGGATAGTGTTTGAAATATTTATATTGTATCCATGGAAAGGATAGAATATTTTCTCAAGAGTACAGTTCCTCCCGCACGTGCTTGAGGCCTGGTGTGACAGCCGCTCTCTGGTCTGCATGTTCTCATGGCATCTTTACCTTTGCCTGTGCCGCTGCACCTTGCTGCATCAACATGTTTCACTTCCCCTTCGAGACCATGATTTCTGTAAGATGGCAGGGATGCAGAAGAGCCACTGACCCATGATCCGCAAGTGTGTGTGTGTTTGTCAGTGGTGTTTTCTAAGCCTCCTTGAACACCCAATCCTGCAGGGGGAGAAACAGCCAACAGTAGTTGGAGATGGGTTGCTTGTTTATTTTTTTAAGCTATTAACTGACAAACCTGCGGTACCTCTTTGCAAAATGGCAAAGTGCATGAGCCGATGGATAACCCAGCTCTGCCCTCTTTTTCTTGATTCGAAAAACTTAAGAACTTATATAGCACTCAAGTGCTGAAGGTCTGTTTTCATTCCAAGTGCATAACAAGAAAGAAGTTGTCAGAAGATACATCACACCTGTTTTATTTGGATGTATATTTTATTATGTGTGCACACTATCTTTTCATTTGGAATAAGTAGAATTTCTCCACTTGCTATTGACCGGTTATTACATGCAAGAATTCATTAGCACTGTTGCTTAGAATTTTTTTAAATGAACACTTGCTCAGCTCCTGGATTCTGAGCATGTAAAGTGTTCCTTCTTTTTGTTCCCTAACATTCATTCTTATGAAAGCAAGGCTAGCTGATTTTATTACCAAGAGAATATCAACATTAGTCATGGACATATTCTTTATGATATATGTGTTTCCTTTGTGCTAAAAAGAGGGGGAAAAATGTCTAAACTTGCTTATCTCTCTGTAGGACAGTCGGCCCAATATGTCAAGACCTCTGCTCACTAGATCCCCTGCGTCTCCACTGAACAGCCAAGGCATCCCTACTCCAGCACAGCTCACAAAATCCAATGCGCCCGTGCACATCGATGTGGGCGGCCACATGTACACCAGCAGCCTGGCCACCCTCACCAAATACCCCGACTCCAGGTAATCCGTTCACTGTGAAGTCAGGCTCCGATGCGCATGTGTGTGATGCTCTAACTCTTTTTCCTTTGACCAGCGAAGCAAGGTGGCCTCAGCAGGGCTGGGGTTAGGATGTGAACAGGCTACGTGGGCCAGCCCTCCACAAGGCTGCTCCGGGGACCTGGCAGAACATCTTCCCTCAGTTGGGATTTGACCCACAGCTTAGCTGAGTACTTGTGAGAGTGGCACACAGCAGTGGAGTTCTGGAGTGTTTCGCTCTATGAAGATTGTCATCGTTCTTTGTGTAGTTCAGAAAGCATGAGTGGTCTCCCCTTCCCCCATGCTTTTTTCTGTCCTCTTCTAGAGCATAATTTCTTCTAAATTCTTAACATGTTAGGAGAAATTACTTGGCCAACTACAAGATAAAAAATAGACTCTTATCACTTTCCTATCAGACTCTTATCAGTTTTGTATTTGCAGTATGCAAACAATTTGCGAACCAGTGAAAGATCTCCTGTCAGACGCTTATCAGCATTGGAGTTACAACAGTATAAAAAAAACTAGGAGGCCAGTTTGAGTACCGGTTCCTCTGCTTCTAAGCCAGCTTATCATTTGTTACAAGAAAAGCCTGCTGGGTTCTTTCCTCAGCTTAATATAGAAATAAAAAGCCGGGAATCAGTTAAAGACAGAGTTTATTTGTGAAGGGACCAGGTGAGCGGGGAAAGAAGCAAGACACAGAAAGCACCTCCCCAGAGAGGGGCGGGATCGGGGTGCCTCTCAGGAGAGAGGGAGCGACGCCAAAGGCTTCAGGAAGGTTCTTGGGCTTTTAAGCCGTTCCTGACCACTCCTTGTTAGGTAAGAATCTACAGGTACAAGGCTGCCCATTGGTGGGCTCTTACCAGCCTAGCTCTTGTGGCCATTGGGGAATAAATTAGTAAATAAACGATCCATCTCTCTCTTCCCCCTTTTCTGTCACTCTGCCTTTCCAATAAACAAACATTTTTTTTTTCTAAATGCAGGGAGATAAGATAACCTTCTTTAGGAAAAAACTGAAGGGCTATAGAGTATGGGTGGCTGCTCAACACAGAGAAGTAATTGAGTAAACTGGATGAAGACATAAGGTACACTTACATCCATGGGCTATCCCCTTCCAACCTCTGCTCTCTCCCCCTTATTTAAGATTTGTTTATTTGGAAGTCAGAGTTAAGGGGTGGAAGTGGGGGTGCAGGGTGAAGGAAGGAACAAGAGAGAGAGAGAATCTTCTGTGTGCTGATTCACTCCCCAGTTGGCCACAATAGCAAGGGCTAGACCAGGCCAAAGCCAAGACCCAGGAGCTTTCTCAGAGTCTCCCACATGGATGTAGGGGCCCAAGGACTTGAGCCACCCTCTGCTGCTTTCCTAGGCACATTAGCATCGAGCTGGATCAGAAGCGGAGCAGTGGAGACACAAACTTATGCCCATACGGAATGCTGGCATTACAAGCGAAGGCATTTATGTGCTACACCGCAGTGTCCCCTACCCCTCATTTCTAAAGGAATTCCAAGGAAATCATTTCCTTTGCACACTGGGGCAGCTCTCATGGTTTGGGCCCAGATTTTCGGGGCTGTGTCCAAATCCTATAAGGGAATGGATTTTCATAGGATCTTTCGGTAGACAGAGGAGATAGGAGTTTGCACGGGCATATGTTAGAGTAAAAGGGGTTTGTGGCAACATGTCCCTGCTCAGAATTTCAGATTTGAGAGCATTTTGGAGTTTGGAGCTTGGATTGTTCAGATTAGGGATGCTCAGTTATAGAAACATCATTTGTGTCTGTGCTCAGCACCTGGCTGCCTGCTCGCGTCCCTTTCTGCTGACACAGGCCCCACAGCTTATACCTGTGTGATGCTCTCTGGTACCTCTGGGCTCTTGGCAGTGGAGGAAGACACAAGGTTAGAGACTGTATTCATTCAGATCATGTTTGACAAATCATTGGCCACTTTCTTTCTTTTGGTACTGTGTATTCTAGGAAGAGATCTGGAGGCTCTCCCTCCTTCCATCTTTCAGTGGGTTAAGGTTATCTACTTTCTTTCTGCCCTTTCTTATTCACCCCAAGAGCTGCGTTTCTCTGCAGTACCCAGCGACCATGTGTAGCTGTTAAGCACTTTATTTGTGGTCAGTGCAAATGGGAATTTTCTCCTAAGTGTAAATCCTGGCTTGATTTTGATAGCTCAGCACCCTCCAAAGTGTAAAATATCTCAGTTATTTTTATACTCATTTCAGGTTGAAATGAAAATATATTAAATAAATTATAATCATTAAAGTTAATTTCCGTTTTACTTTTCTAATGTGCTCCTGGAAAATACAGAATTATCCATGCTCTCTTTTTTATTGTGCAGTGCTGAACTCTGAACAGATGTTTTTGTAGAAACATCTCATTAAACACAGCATTCCCCATTCAGAAATGAAATCTCTCTTTCACCAGCGTAACTAGAAAACAGAGAATTGTTCATCTGCCTTTCCCATGCCTTCCTGTGCTTCCTCTTACCAGTGAGCTACAGTGTTGCTGAAACAACAGCAAAAATCATTTGTGATGCATTAGCTCTAGGTTTGGATACTGCCTCTGCCTTTGACCTGCCAGTTGTTTGGTCATGGACAGGCCCAATCTCTATGCATCTGTCTTCTCTCTTGTAAAATAGGCACAGATACATCCTCTTGCAAGGTTACTGGGAGGATTAAATGCGATTTAGGAAAAGCACGCCATGGCCCTGTGCCCAACACAGAGTATTGCCTTTCTACTTAATCTTCTGCCAAGCCCAGCAATTGTTTCTTTTCAGACTGCCTTCCCAATTCCAAATATATCCCATTCCTTCCTTTCCTAAGCAAGGGAAACAGCCCTATGTCTGTATTCTTGCCTGGTTGACTCCACTCTCTAAGACTCTTCCCCTTCACCTTCTTGAACTCATATGTGTGACAAGTTCCAGGATTACGCTTCTCATGAGGAGAAGTCTAGAAACTTATGTCAGGACACTTTAAAACAAACCCCCCTGAGTAACTTGGGTTTCTGTCACTTATACCTAAGTGACATCAGTCCCTTAGTACTAGTTTTGATATTAAATTGGCCAATGTGAGTTGCTTTGATGTCTCTTGGGGTAATGGATGTTTAAGAAGTACCTAAATGTTCATTTCAAAACAATAGCCTATATTACTGAATTGAATTGAATTTATTAGAAAGGTAAGGTGATAGGGAGAGACAAACAGAGAATTTACATCTGCTGGTTCACTCCCCAAAGAGTACAAAAAGCCACCAGGACAGAGCCAGGAGACAGAAAACTTTGTCCATAGAAAGAAAAGAAGAGCAGAGGAGGGGAAGGGAGGAGAGGGGAGGGGAGGGGAGGGGAGGGGAGGGGAGGGGAGGGGAGGGGAGAACAAGAGAAGAGAAAAAAGAGAAGAAAAGAAGAAAAGAAAAGAACGCTTCATCCAAATCTCCCACGGAGTGACAATCCATTGCTTTCCTACCTGCAATAGTAAGGAGCTAGATTGGAAGCAGAGCAGCCCAGCCTGAGCTGGCATTCCGATATGGGATGCCAGCAGCACTGCAGTAGCTCAAATCATCGCACCACGACACTAACACCCATAGGCAAATTTTTGTAGTCAAAACTAGAAGAAAGTTTTAAATGATTTTCCCTTAGGTGTCAGGTACTCCTCTCATTGTCTGGGGAAAGCTGATGTACATCAGTAACTGTTTAAATAGATCCTGGGACATGAAGGTGCCCATGAGCAGGGAATCATGCAGAACCCTGGCTGTCGTTCTCTAGGGTGCCAGGTATTTTAAAGCTTCTCTTTGCCCCACAGCCTTGGAGCTCCAGTCTCTCTCACCTTGTCTCTTCTTTAGTATAACCCAGGATGGAGTAGGGGTTGTTGTAGGATTTCAGCGGAGAGATTTGCAGTAAAAGTACTTATATGTGACAAGTTATACATATAAGTGTCATATAAATTTACACATGTGGAAATAACTTGTGACAAATGACCTTAAGAGATGAAATGTCTTTCTGTGATGTTAAGGATTCTGCAAAGAGTGTTCACTCCACTTTTAAATATTGTACATGGCTATTCATTCTGTATTTAACTTTTCCCTTTTGGCACCTGATCAACTTCAGAACATCCTCCCCGAAAAAGTACTAAGATGGAACACATGCCTGAATATTGAGAGCACCTGGGAAGCATGAAAGACCCATCCCAGGCCTGCCCAGGACCACTAAAACGGGGGACCTGTGCGATTTTTCTAAGAGGGCCTGATTTGTATCATCTGGCTTGGGAACAATGTGGAGAGCAACTTTCCAAGAGAATACAGGCATCTCCCACAGTGAACAGTTCCTGCTGTTGCACAGTGGCCACTGCACTGAAAAATAATACCTTTCCATCGTTTCTTTGACCAAGACTACCAGTGATGCCACGGATGTGCTTGGCCGGTGGACATTTTCCCCCTGATTTTGTTTTTGTTTTTGTTTGTTTGTTTGTTTGTTTGTTTGGCTAGGAAGCCCTAACAATGATTGAACAAGTAAGTTGGTGTCTACACTGCACGGCAGTCATGCCCATTGCTACTCACTTTCAGCATCAGCTGTTGCTAGGCTAAAGGGACTAAAGTTTCAAAGCTCACTGAAGATTGCTTACTGGCAGGACATGCACTGTCTGACCAGTGTGTGGGGGGGATGCACAGCAGCTCTTTGGAGGTGTTCATGACAGAGCCTAAATTATACTATCAGCAATAAGCCCTGGGCCCTCTCCATGACTCCTAAGAGCCATCAATTCCAGTTTTGATTTTGAATGGCAGACGTCAAAAAAGACGCCCACTTCGGATATGCAATAAATTCATATCAAATAATTCACATCCCCTAAAGATTTATTTTATTTTACTCTATTTTTTATTTGAAAGGCAAAGTTACACAGAGAAAGAGAGATAAGAGACATCCTCTATCCCCTGATTCACTCCCCAAATAGCTGCAATGGCCAGGGCTAAACTGATCCAAAGACAGGATCCAGAAGCT